TTCATTAAAAATTCTTGCTATTGGGCTTGCAATTTCATGGGCCAATTCCTTTAATATTCTTGGATGAAGATTATCTGGGCCCCCTGATTTAGTCCATTAAGCTGTTCAACCATCAACCTCAGCCTGGACCAGTCCACACAAGAGATCCACCTCCTGGACACTACAGGGCTAATAAGCGATGGTCACATAAACACCGCCCTATACCGGAAACCTACTGACCGCTATACTTACCGCTATACTTATGCCTCCAACTTTCATCCAGACCACATCACACAGTCCATTGTCTACAGCCAAGCTCTACGATACAACTGCATTTGTGCCAATCCCTCAGACAGAGACAAACACCGACAAGATCTCTATCAAGTGTTCTTACAACTACAATACCCACCTGCTGAAGTGTAGAAACAGACTGACAGAGCCAGAAGAGTACCCAGAAGTTACCTACTACAGGACAGGCCCAACAAAGAAAATAACAGAATGCCACTAGCCATCACCTTCAGCCCCCAACTAAAACCTCTCCATTGAATCATCAAGGATCTACAACCTATCCTGAAGGACAACCCACCACTCTCACAGCTCTTGGGAGACAGACCAGTCCTTGCTTACAGACAGCCCCCCAACCTGAAGCAAATACTCACCAGCAACCACACACCACACAACAGAACCACTAACCCAGGAACCTACCCTTGCAACAAAGCCCGTTGCCAACTGTGTCCACATATCTATTCAGGGGACACCATCATAGGGCCTAATCACATCAGCCACACAATCAGAGGCTCGTTCACCTGCACATCTACCAATGTGATATATGCCATCATGTGCCAGCAATGCCCCTCTGCCATGTACACTGGTCAAACTGGACAGTCTCTACGTAAAAGAATAAATGGACACAAATCAGACGTCAAGAATTATAACATTCAAAAACCAGTCGGAGAACACTTTAATCTGTCTGGTCACTTGATCACAGACCTAAAAGTCGCAATTCTTCAACAAAAAAACTTCAAAAACAGACTCCAATGAGAGACTGCTGAATTGGAATTAATTTGCAAACTGGACACCATTACATTAGGATTGAATAAAGACTGGGAGTGGATGTGTCATTACACAAAGTAAAACTATTTCCCCATGTTTATTCCTCCCCCCCCCCCACTGTTCCTCAGATGTTCTTGTCAACTGCTGGAAATGGCTCACCTTGATTATCACTACAAAAGGGATGTGAGTGTGTGTGTGTGTGTGTTTTCTCTCCTGCTGGTAATAGCTCACCTTACCTGATCACTCTCGTTACAGTGTGTATGTTAACACCCATTGTTTCATGTTCTCTGTGTATATAAAATCTCCCCACTGTATTTTCCACTGCATGCATCCGATGAAGTGAGCTGTAGCTCACGAAAGCTTATGCTCAAATAAATTTGTTAGTCTCTAAGGTGCCACAAGTCCTCCTTTTCTTTAACCGTGTATTATTATTGTTATTGCAGTGGTGCATAACAGCCCCAGTCAAGACCAGGACCCTATTGTAGGCACTGTACAAACAGAGATGGTCCCTGCCCCCAAAGCTTACATTCTAAGTAAGCCTAGCTCTTTAATCTAATTAGGCCCAATCCTGAAAATGCCTTGACATCGCTAATTCCAGCACCCTCATTGAGCCACATTCAAGTCTGTAGGACCCTGCATGGTGAGAAGGGTCTGACGTGCAGCATTAAGGTCAGTGTTGAACCATGATTCCTTATTTAAGAATACCTGACTGAGGGCTGATCTATCCACAGACTTGTACCAAAATAACTAAATGGGGTTTGATTCACATTTTTTGTTATTTCAGTGCCAGGCTGTGCGTGGATATCACATAGTTTCATTTTAAATAGGAGTGTTCTATTCTGAAATAAGAATATCCACAAATAGACTTGTGCCAAAATAACAAATGGTGCCACTTAAAAGCACTGTAGTTCTTTTGGTGTGAGTTGTGGGTGGATAGACCAGCCCTTAATGTCTATCTAAAATATAGTTATAGTTTGGATTAAAGCTCATGACGCATGCTGGTGGGTGTAACTACTGCCCTTCATTTAAGATAGTAGAAACAGTTAAGTTTCCAATCTCTGGATTGGAAGGGACCTCAGGAGGTCATCTAGTCCAACCCCCTGCTCAAAGCAGGATCACTCCCCAATTTTTGCCCCAGATCCCTAAATGTCCCCCTCAGGGATAGATTTATATCCCTGGGTTTTGCAGGCCAATGCTCAAACCACTGAGCTATCCCTCCCCCCTGGGTCTGGTGCTGGCTAAAAGAGGTTTAGTGCTGTGAGCAAGGAAACTATTGTTTGGTTCTTCCTCTGTTCAGAGAAATAGGACTTCGTACACTCCTTGTAAATAAACAAGATGCATCAAAAGTCCCTGACTCCATCATCAAATTTTCCTCCTAACTGGAACAACGTGCAAGACCCCATATTTTTGTGATCTAGCCTCCTTTGAAGGAAGTAGAAATGACTGAGTGATGGAATTGCTGGCATTCGCCTAAATGCTAGGACAGAGGGAGATTTCCCCTGGGGAATTCTTGTGAAGGACTTCACTCTGTGGGCACGCGCGCTGTCCTAGGGGAACAGGACCTTACATTACTATAGTAAGACTCAGAATGAGCACAGGGAAGGCTTCTCATTTAATTGAAGAGTCTATATAGTTTTGTGCTGACTAAACATTCCCAAGGTTGCCATCCTTGAGGTCAAGCAATTCCCAGCTGCTGACACACAGTAGTTAATGGGGCAGGCTCTATTTCCTGTAACACAGAGAAGGCATTTCCAGACATCACATATGGGGAGAACTCTAACTCGTCCTTACCAATGGGATGTGTCTGTTCTCTGCTGGATGCTGGATGCAGGAATACCAGGAGAGCTGCTCCACCATTTCCTCAAAACTAGCACTGTGTGCTTCAGAGCAGGCCAGCAGCAGCAGCCGAGGAACTCGGAGGCAGGGGAGCCAGTAGCTGGGATACATAGAAAGATGAGGATTTAAATTCCCACTTCAAAAGCTGTTGTTTTCCTCTCCACATCATGAGCCCCTCCTCTACCACACCCCCCTGCTACCACAAGGACCATGATTAATTCTGCTTCTTCAACCGTGCTCATGTGGGGCAAAACATGTGTGATACTACAGTTCAGTGCTAGCAACGTGTATGGACCCTGCATGTATGCAAAGCGGTACTGAAATACTCTCATGCTACGTGCTGGTATCCTGGAAACATGGTGACACCAGTATGGCATTTCCTTACCCCTCGGACCAGCATTGTGTGTGTGTGTGTGGGGAGAGATCTTTCTCATCTCCGCTCATATCAGCTAACTTTTTTTTTTTTTTTAAGAGCCAGGCCTTAAAACACGAACTACAATGCTAGGAGAGCTATGCATGTTTTAGTTTGAGAGTTACATTTCGCTAAATGATGGGCACGTCTATGCGAATTGGTACAAACATGTCTCAGAACTTCCTGGGCAGCAGTTTAACCATCAGCAGTTTCCTAATTAGGCTTCTGATGCTGGGAGGTGCTGGGCACCTTCATTCCAATTCAAGGTTAATCTCAAGCTAGTGACAGTCAAGGGCATGCGGCTCCCAGCCTCTTGCCGAACTGGGTTGGACGTTCTGCTACGGTGAATACACTTATCTAATTTTTAAGAAGTTAACTGCTGCCCTCTGATGTTAAAGCACACACCAGTTTAGACTATTTGGGCCAGATCCTCAGCTGCTGATTTACACCAACTGATGATATTGCTATGTGTGTCCACATGAAGAAACTAAGGCTGGGTTCAACCCAAATATCTCAGAAGTAGTATTTGTTTTCCTGATCTTTTTCTAATGCCTCAGGGAGCCATTTGGGGCCATGAAAGAACACGAAGTCTGTTTTTTTCCCCCCCATGGTATTTCCATCATCCAGAAATTAAAATTCTGTGGGAAGCCCAGACCTTGGATTGCTTCAGCCACATAAATTGCTCCCTGAAGGCATTAAAAAGCATGTAAAAACATGGTCTAAACACCAATAAAATTTGGAAGTGGCTCTGTACCAGGGCCGTCACCCCACTTCAGCCCTGAAAGGGTTAAAAGCCAGCCCTTTGAGAGGGCTGGGGGTGAGAGAAAAGCTTAGGCTGATTGGGGAAACAACCACAGCTGGCCCTATAAAAGGGCTGTGAGCCAGGTGCTCAGAGAGTCTCTCTCTAGCAATGGAGAGAGAAGGATCTGACTGCTTGGGAGAGATGGGTACCTGGTGTGGAGCAGGGCAAGGGAAAGGCTAGAGGAGTAGGGGAGCTCCAGCCTGCAGGCTTTACTAAAGGCTGGGAAAGATATTGGGGTTGCAGAGGTGCAGCTCATGGTTAGGCAAAGGCAGCAGGCCCAAACCCTCCTTGCCAATGATGACTGGATTACACACTGCAGTCTGCCCCAGTGAGCGCAGGCTAGATGGTGACTGGCAGTAGCCACTGAGGCAAGGTGGGGATAGAGGGTGGGCGTTCCCTTGGGAGGGGAGACCCAGAGACTATGGGGGTACTGCAGGGGGCAGCACCCCAAGGTAAAGGGACACCAGGGTCTGGGAGGCACATGGGGGCCAGTGCAGGTGAGACACTGGCCTGCAGAAGGTGCTCTGGAGAGCTAATTCCCAGGAGGTCCAGCAGGAGGTGCTGTGCTGGTGGGTTGTCGCATTGCTACAGGCTCCAGACTGGAACACCAAATCCACCAGTGTCATCAGCTCTGGAAACTTTGGCAGAATTTAAATCAAGATTTGGGCCTAACAGTATTAAAAACACAAAAGCTAGAATCTGCCCACCCCTCCTGGAAAAATAAGCAAAATAGATATATTTAAAAACAAACAAACAAAACAATCCAGCAACTAGACTTCCAATAGGATCTCAGAGGGCACTCTACGTTGGCATTTTATTCAAAGAGTATTTCAATTAGTGGTGTAGGACAAAATTAAGGAACTGCAAGGCCATATTTTATTGATACACATTTCTATCTTGAAACTTGCATGTTCCCAGGTGACTGCTGGCTCCTAGCAGCCATTGCATCTCTTACCTTGGATCAAGAAATCCTGTATCGAATTGTTCCCAAAGATCAGAGCTTCCAGAATAACTACGCTGGGATCTTTCATTTCCAGGTAACTCTTGCTAATCCATCAAACAGGATCAAGATGTGAGGAACAAAAGAAAGATCCAATATTTAGGTAAATGTAGCTTGTCTCATTGCTGATGACAAGTTAGATATTCAGCAATTAAGGTGTGCAAGTGAGATAGACAGGGAGGGGGAGAATAGAGGAGACTATAACAAAATGGAATTATACATACTCTGTTGGCTAGAATTCTGCTCTCTTACACCTGTGTAAACCCGGTGCTGCATCAGTGGTGGCAAGAAAGTTACTCCAGATTAATACCACTGTGATCTAGAGCAGAATGTTCTAGGTCAGGTGCCAACTTTTTCACAGTATAGGCCACATTTCATCTCCACAGGGAGATTGTCCTGTGGATTTGCCTGCCTCCCAAACTTTGTCTGATTGTCTATCTGCCCCCTCATTTGTGATCACATAACATCCTGGTGGCAACTCCAGCAGCTACTTACACAGAGAATAAATATTAGCTAAGTACACAGGCATACATTTCCAAAAGTGACCAGTGTTTTTGGGTGCCCCAACTTGAAGTACTTTTTAAGGGGGCCTTATTTTTTCTGTGGGTGGGTGCACAGCACTTTCTGAAAATGAAGCCTCTTCAGGGTGCCTCAAGTTAGGCACCCTAATGTACTTTTCAAAATTTAGGCCTTAATACATCCCAGCTGCTAGCCAGGTCTTTGTGAACACGAAAAGTACTCCATGGACCACACTATGAGAATGTTCTAGATGTTCCTTCCAAGGCAGCAATAACATTACCTATTAATAAACCTTCACATAGTACTTGTAAATGTACCAAAGCCTTACAGAACCTAGTAAAGCAGAGCATAGAAAACACATTGGTCTCTGTTCCAAATGATGTGCAGCGTAATATCGATGGGACAAAATGCAGATATGTTTTCAAATACGGGAGACTGAGGAGAAATCAATGGGGAGGAGCCCACTGTTGGAAGGATTCCTCAAAGTGGGTTTTCATGAGGGATGTGGAGATGGAGAGGAGAAGATGAATGGCCAGCAAGAAGTGGGACACTGTTCCATAGCACAGGGGACAGTGAGAAGCAGAGAATGGCAGGAGGATTTTTAGCAGGAAGGTAACTGTAGCACACCACTCTAACCACCCTTTCTTTCTTTCCTTAGTTCTGGCAGTTTGGGGAGTGGGTGGATGTTATTGTTGACGACAGGCTGCCCACCAAAAATGGGCAGCTGCTCTTCCTTCACTCAGAGGAAGGCAATGAGTTCTGGAGTGCCCTGCTGGAGAAAGCCTATGCTAAGTAAGTGGGGCTAATTCTGAGAGAGGCCATAATAAGTGCAAGGAATGTGACTGTCTCAACCCATGCTGGTGCCAGGCCCAACACATTCTGCCCTAGTGTCAGTCTCTTATTCCTCCTCCTTCCTGTCTCCACACCATTTCTTGTTTCCCACAAACACTTCAGGGAGAACTGCCAATCTTCTGCCCCAAGATGTTTTATCTACTAGTTTCACAAGTAACACTTTTATGTGTACAGTAACAGATTGGGTTCTACACCATTATTTCTGTAATGCAAATGTGTGTGTGTGTGTGTGGAAACTGGCCGGATGCTCCTTGTTGCATCTCTGTTATCTTATTTTCTTCCCCATAGATTGAATGGATCATATGAGGCTCTCACAGGAGGCTCCAGTATAGAAGGGTTTGAGGATTTCACGGGAGGCATCGCTGAGTCTTACGATCTGAGGAAGGCCCCACCAAACCTATATCAGATCATCCAGAAGGCCCTTCAAACTGGGTCATTGGTTGGCTGCTCCATTGATGTGAGATACCATCAGTATTTTATTCTTTCACCATCAGAACTCTGATCTGTGTAGCAGGAAAAGCTCAGGTCAGCAGCAGGCATTGTTACTATGGAAGGGCCTTTTTCAATGCCCACTGAAGTCAGTGGAGACTTTCAACTGATTTCAGTGGGCTTTGGTTCAGGTCTTGAATGGGCAACCACCCATCGTGTCTCCCTGCTCAGGAAAGAGCCTAATAATTAGAGCTGGGAACTAGGAATCATATTTCTGGGTTCTATTTCTGACTTTCCTCTCATTACCATTTCATTTTACTCATCTGTAAAATAGGTTAGCACTGCCATGCCTATCTCACAGGAATTGTGAGAGGTTTTATTAATTTGGGGCTATTGAGATCCTTGGATTAAAAGAGCTAGAGATGTATAAAGTGCTATTATCAGCACAAACTTCTTAAATGTTAGGTTAATGTGACTCCCTGACTATCTCTTCAGCCCTGATGTCTGACACGGCCTCACACAGAATCATAGAATATCAGGGTTGGAAGGGACCTCAGGAGGTCATCTAGTCCAACCCCCTGCTCAAAGCAGGACCAATGCCCAACTAATCATCCCAGCCAGGGCTTTGTCAAGCCTGACCTTAAACACTTCTAAGGAAGGAGATTCCACCACCTCCCTAGGTAACGCATTCCAGTGTTTCACCACCCTCCTAGTGAAAAAGTTTTTCCTAATATCCAACCTAAACCTCCCCCACTGCAACTTGAGACCATTACTCCTTGTTCTGTCATCAGCTACCACTGAGAACAGTCTAGATCCATCCTCTTTGGAACCCCCTTTCAGGTAGTTGACAGCAGCTATCAAATCCCCCCTCATTCTTCTCTTCTGCAGACTAAACAATCCCAGTTCCCTCAGCCTCTCCTCATAAGTCATGTGTTCCAGTCCCCTAATCATTTTTGTTGCCCTCCGCTGGACTCTTTCCAATTTTTCCACATCCTTCTTGTAGTGTGGGGCCCAAAACTGGACACAGTACTCCAGATGAGGCCTCACCAATGTCGAATAGAGGGGAACGATCACGTCCCTCGATCTGCTGGCAATGCCCCTACCAAAATGCCATTGGCCTTCTTGGCAACAAGGGCACACTGTTGACTCATATCCAGCTTCTCGTCCACTGTAACCCTTAGGTCCTTTTCTGCAGAATTGCTGCCGAGCCATTCGGTCCCTAGTCTGTAGCGGTGCATGGGATTCGTCTGTCCTAAGTGCAGGACTCTGCACTTGTCCTTGTTGAACCTCATCAGATTTCTTTTGGCCCAATCCTCCAATTTGTCCAGGGCCCTCTGTATCCTATCCCTACCCTCCAGCGTATCTACCTCTCCTCCCAGTTTAGTGTCATCTGCAAACTTGCTGAGGGTGCACTCCACACCATCCTCCAGATCACTTATGGAGATATTGAACAAAACTGGCCCAAGGACCGACCCTTGGGGCACTCCACTTGATACCGGCTGCCAACTAGACATGGAGCCATTGATCACTACCCGTTGAGCCCGACAATCTAGCCAATTTTCTATCCACCTTATAGTCCATTCATCTAGCCCATACTTCTTTAACTTGCTGGCAAGAATACTGTGGGAGACAATGTCAAAAGCTTTGCTAAAGTCAAGGAACAACACGTCCACTGCTTTCCCCTCATCCACAGAGCCAGTTATCTTGTCCTAGAAGGCAATTAGATTAGTCAGGCATGACTTGCCCTTGGTGAATCCATGCTGACTGTTACTGATCACTTTCCTCTCCTCTAAGTGCTTCAGAATTGATTCCTTGAGGACCTGCTCCATGATTTTTCCTGGGACTGAGGTGAGGCTGACTGGCCTGTAGTTCCCAGGATCCTCCTTCTTCCCTTTTTTAAAGATGGGCACTACATTAGCCTTTTTCCAGTCATCCGGGACTTCCCCGGACTGCCATGAGTTTTCAAAGATAATGGCCAATGGCTCTGCAATCACATCCTCCAACTCCTTTAGCACTCTTGGATGCAGCGCATCCAGCCCCAGGGACTTGTGCTTGTCCAGCTTTTCTAAATAGTCCCGAACCACTTCTTTCTCCACAGAGAGCTGGTCACCTCCTCCCCATGCTGTGCTGCCCAGTGCAGCAGTCTGGGAGCTGACCTTGTTCATGAAGACAGAGGCAAAAAAAGCATTGAGTACATTAGCTTTTTCCACATCCTTTGTCACTAGGTTGCCTCCATCATTCAGTAAGGGGCCCACACTTTCCTTGACTTTCTTCTTGTTGCTAACATACCTGAAGAAACCCTTCTTGTTACTCTTAACATCTCTTGCTAGCTGCAACTCCAGGTGTGATTTGGCCTTCCTGATTTCACTCCTGCATCCCCGAGCAATATTTTTATACTCTTCCCTGGTCATTTGTCCAATCTTCCACTTCTTGTAAGCTTTTTTGTGTTCAAGATCAGCAAGGATTTCACTGTTAAGCCAAGTTGGTCGCCTGCCATATTTACTGTTCTTTCTACACATCGGGATGGTTTGTCCCTGTAACCTCAATAAGGATTCTTTAAAATACAGCCAGCTCTCCTGGACTCCTTTCCCCCTCATGTTGTTCTCCCAGGGGATCCTGCCCATCAGTTCCCGGAGGGAGTCAAAGTCTGCTTTTCTGAAGTTCAGGGTCCGTATTCTGCTGCTCTCCTTTCTTCCCTGTGTCAGGATCCTGAACTCGACCATCTCACGGTCACTGCCTCCCAGGTTCCCATCCACTTTAGCTTCCCCTACTAATTCTTCCCAGTTTGTGAGCAGCAGGTCAAGAAGAGCTCTGCCCCTAGTTGGTTCCTCCAGCACTTGCACCAGGAAATTGTCCCCTACCCTTTCCAAAAAGTTCCGGGGTTGTCTGTGCACCGCTGTATTGCTCTCCCAGCAGATATCAGGGTGATTGAAGTCTCCCATGAGAACCAGGGCCTGCAATCTAGTAACTTCCGTGAGTTGCCGGAAGAAAGCCTCGTCCACCTCATCCCCCTGGTCCGGTGGTCTATAGCAGACTCCCACCATGACATCACCCTTGTTGCTCAACTTCTAAACTTAATTCAGAGACACTAAGGTTTTTCTGCAGTTTCATGCTTGAGCTCTGAGCAGTCATACTGCTCCCTTACATACAGTGCAACTCCCCCACCTTTTCTGTCCTGCCTGTCCTTCCTGAACAGTTTATATCCGTCCATGACAGTACTCCAGTCATGTGAGTTATCCCACCAAGTCTCTGTTATTCCAATCACATGTACCGGTGATGGCATGAGTCCCTCATAGAGTTGTGGCAATCTGCCCCAAGTCTGATTTACTTAGTGACAGCATGTCAGCTCAGACTCCTTCACGATATTTCCTCTCTGACCACATTCCTTTGACACTGGAAAAGAAACGACTAATTTGCCTGGTTCATCCAGCTTCTAAAATGCAATTCTAACTACTGTTCGGATTCAAATGCTGCCTGCCTACAGCCCCAGACACCCAAATGGGGAGAAGGTGACAGACTCAAACTCTTTGAGAATATCTTACATTCGCTCTATGGTGCCTTTCAAGTATGCTTTATTATGAGGTACTCTAGGTCAGTCATTTGAGACCCACACTCACCCTTTTCCTCACACACAACCTGGAGTTGGCTCCATTTCTCAATCCTATAAATCACTGACATCTGTAATAGGCAGTCTCAGCAGTTATAGAAAACATTAGATAGGTTAAAAGAAGCCCACATCTTTCAAATTGGTTTCTTCCTCTTGTCCCTCAACGTTTTTTTTTTAAAGTTGCACAGTAAAAAGGTCAGTGTTGTATATCTGAATCTTGGCATACTGAGCCCTTTATATTCACCAGAGGCTGAGTTTATTATTGACTTACTGGATTCTGACCAACCGAGCTGAGCTCTGGATCTGAGTTCAAATAAAAGTTTGTAACTGAAACTTCTCTCTATAATGGACTGGACCTGAATCTTTGAAATTGAGAAAATTTGGATTCATATTTCAGCTCCCCCTCATCCCAAGTCACAGATGTGTTTGGAACTGGGGTTCTGGAGATACAAAGCAGAGCTCCAGGGTTAGGGTCCATTTCTGTTTAACACGGTTTGTATTGTTGAATTTTTTTAGAATACCATTTAGATATCTGCAACTGCATTAATTTGGTCTTTAAAACTGTGTGTGCGCGCAATATATAACAGTATTTTTATTGCCCTAGATCACCAGTGCAGCTGAAACTGAAGCTATCACAAGTAAGAAATTGGTAAAGGGACATGCTTACTCTCTCACTGGAGCAGAAGAGGTAAGCTCATACATAATGGCTAAACCTATTAGGTTTCCTATGCGTAAACCTGACCTATACAGTGTTGATGAAACTTGCCATCACACAGAATGATTTACCAGTCTAACAAACAACATAATTTTGGGTTTGTGATACTACACGGCCTTTGACAACTTGCTGATGGCTCTCTACATTTGACCCCATATGAAAATGTTGCTAATATCTTCACAGCCACAGAGACAGAGATTGACTGTAATAATTCTTTAGCTTGAAATCTCTCCCCTTGGTGATAACCTCTCAGATACCTTATTCAAACCAGTTTTCCTCAGCAAATTAGCATAGCCTGCGACCTGCATTGTACTAACTGACTATATTATAAACTCATTTGAACCTTATGTTTCACAAGCTTTCCCTACATATCACAAGCTACCGTGATTATAGAGGAGATTCTGCTAAATAACTTAGTGCAGCAGCATAATTGGTACAATCTTCTGAAATGTCACATGCTGTGGAGAATGCAGATCTTGTGCTGTGCTGTAGCTGATGCTCATCCTTGCATGTTACCCATATATTGTATGACTCACCATTAGACCTGTAAGTAATGCTATTTTTGTAGTGCTGGGTTGGTGGTGAAGGGGAGAGTAAAATGATGATGGGGGTGGGAGACGTTTGGTGGGTTTTTTCTCTTGACATCCCACTAGAGTGCAAATTGTGGTTTTTTTTTCTCTAGCTGTAAAAGCGCATACTACAGGATAATGAGTAAATTAACATAATGCTCAGACTCTGCTTGCTGTGGATCCTACAGGTAAACTACCGTGGGCGCCCAGAGAAGCTAGTCAGGATTAGAAATCCCTGGGGTGAAGTGGAGTGGACCGGAGCCTGGAGTGATAAGTAGGTTATTATATTCTGTGCCATCCCTCTCCTCACTGTGTTCCAATATCTTTTAAAAATTAAATTGGTAATATCTGCAGTTAATAAGCCACACAGCACATTTGGAAAAGGTGTTAAATCAATTGATCTTTGTCAGAAGTAAAGCATTATTCATAAATTAGCAGTGCTGGCTATTGATCTGTTCTCATCATGGGATTTACCTCCTCCCCCCAGACAGGACTAGGGTGACCAGATGTCCCAATTTTATAGGGACAGTTCCGATTTTTGGGTCTTTTTCTTATATAGGCTCCTGTTACCCCCACCCCCTGTCCCGATTTTTCACATTTGCTGTCTGGTCACCCTAGGCAGGGCTCTCTATTTGTGGAGAGTAGTCTGTAGTTCTTGCTGTGAACAGGACCAAGGAAGTCAGACCCATGTCATTTCGCAAGGTGACTTTCCTCATGCCTGTATCCTACTGATGCTGGTGAAATACCAGTGTAGTATTCAGTCAATTTCCATGGCTAGAAAACACAATAGGGCCAAATTGCTGTGCAACTCTATCGATGGGACTGCAAGGCCTAAGAAAGGGCAATGTTTCACTGTGGCTGGAGAAGCTCAAAAGGCTCTGTGTTCAGCTAAGCACCCAAACATTTGAATACCCATCTGAACTGCTCTGAGCTGGAAGGTGGGCTTGGTATCTCATGACAAGTATGGTCACAACGTTTCTAAGATTTTTCTTGGGTTTGGTCAGGTTGAAAATAGCATGAACATTTCTCACGCAGGATTTTGATATATCTGCTTCTCATCCCGGCTGGCTGAACTTATAGCATTGAGTTTGTGTGCAACTTGAGCAAAGCTTTAGGGTGAATCTTACTTGTATTGGACCTGGTTTGCTCACCCTAAAAGTAGTCTGCTTCATATAAACTAACAGGGCCATATTCTGATCTCAGTCACACCTGTTTTACTGTGGATCATCTCCACTGAAATCAATGGAGTTACTCCAGATTTTCATGGGATCAGATGAGAACCTGGCCTACTCTACAATAGTATGATAGAGATGGAATAGAAGCATTGGATACCTAGTCCTTCCCTATGACCAGTGCAGGATTGCTCCCTGTAGTATATTTTTCTAGTGCTCTTTCTCCATTCTTGTTTTAAAATGTCCCAAATAATGGAGGTTTCACCACTCTGCTTGGGAGACTTAGGGTATGTCTACACTACGAAATTAGGTCGAATTTATAGAAGTTGTTTTTTTAGAAATCGGTTTTATATATTCGAGTGTGTGTGTCCCCACAGAAAATGCTCTAAGTGCATTAAGTGCATTAACTCGGCGGAGCGCTTCCACAGTACCGAGGCAAGCGTCGACTTCCGGAGCGTTGCACTGTGGGTAGCTATCCCACAGTTCCCGCAGTCTCCGCTGCCCATTGGAATTCTGGGTTGAGATCCCAATGCCTGATGGGGCTAAAACATTGTCGTGGGTGGTTCTGGGTACATATCGTCAGCCCCCCGTTCCCTCCCTCCCCCCATGAAAGCAAGGGCAGACAATCATTTCGCGCCTTTTTTCCTGAGTTACCTGTGCAGACGCCATACCACTGCAAGCATGGAGCCCGCTCAGGTAACCGTCACCCTATGTCTCCTGGGTGCTGGCAGACGCGGTACGGCATTGCTACACAGTAGCAGCAACCCCTTGCCTTGTGGCAGCAGACGGTACAGTACGACTGGTAGCCGTCATCGTCATGTCTGAGGTGCTCCTGGTCACCTCTGTGAGGTCGATCAGGAGCGCCTGGGCAGACATGGGCGCAGGGACTAAATTTGGAGTGACTTGAGCAGGTCATTCTCTTTAGTCCTGCAGTCAGTCCTATTGAACCGTCTTATGGTGAGCGGGCAGGCGATACGGACTGCTAGCAGTCGTACTGTACCATCTTCTGCCGAGCAGCCATGAGATGTGGATGGCATGCAGTCCTTCTGCACCGTCTGCTGCCAGCCAAAGATGTAAAAGATAGATGGAGTGGGTCAGAACAAGAAATAGACCAGATTTGTTTTGTACTCATTTGCAACCCCCCCTGTCTAGATCACACTGCAGTCACTCACAGAGAAGGTGCAGCGAGGTAAATCTAGCCATGTATCAATCAGAGGCCAGGCTAACCTCCTTGTTCCAATAACAACGATAACTTAGGTGCACCATTTCTTATTGGAACCCTCCGTGCAGTCCTGCCTGAAATACTCCTTGATGTACAGGCACACCCTTTGTTGATTTTAGCTCCCTGAAGCCAACCCTGTAAGCCGTGTCGTCAGTCGCCCCTCCCTCCGTCAGAGCAACGGCAGACAATCGTTCCGCGCTTTTTTTCTGTGCGGACGCCATACCAAGGCAAGCATGGAGGCCGCTCAGCTCACTTTGGCAATTAGGAGCACATTAACCACCACACGCATTATCCAGCAGTATATGCAGCACCAGAACATGGCAAAGCGATACCGGGCGAGGAGGCGACGTCAGCGCGGTCACGTGAGTGATCAGGACATGGAAACAGATTTCTCTGAAAGCATGGGCCCTGACAATGCATGCATCATGGTGCTAATGGGGCAGGTTCATGCTGTGGAACGCCGATTCTGGGCTCGGGAAACAAGCACAGACTGGTGGGACCGCATAGTGTTGCAGGTCTGGGACGATTCCCAGTGGCTGCGAAACTTTCGCATGCGTAGGGGCACTTTCATGGAACTTTGTGACTTGCTTTCCCCTGCCCTGAAGCGCATGAATACCAAGATGAGAGCAGCCCTCACAGTTGAGAAGCGAGTGGCGATAGCCCTGTGGAAGCTTGCAACGCCAGACAGCTACCGGTCAGTTGGGAATCAATTTGGAGTGGGCAAATCTACTGTGGGGGCTGCTGTGATGCAAGTAGCCCACGCAATCAAAGATCTGCTGATATCAAGGGTAGTGACCCTGGGAAATGTGCAGGTCATAGTGGATGGCTTTGCTGCAATGGGATTCCCTAACTGTGGAGGGGCTATAGACGGAACCCATATCCCTATCTTGGCACCGGAGCACCAAGCCGCCGAGTACATAAACCGCAAGGGGTACTTTTCGATAGTGCTGCAAGCTCTGGTGGATCACAAGGGACGTTTCACCAACATCAACGTGGGATGGCCGGGAAAGGTGCATGATGCTCGCATCTTCAGGAACTCTGGTCTGTTTCAAAAGCTGCAGGAAGGGACTTTATTCCCAGACCAGAAAATAACTGTTGGGGATGTTGAAATGCCTATATGTATCCTTGGGGACCCAGCCTACCCCTTAATGCCATGGCTCATGAAGCCGTACACAGGCAGCCTGGACAGTAGTCAGGAGCTGTTCAACTACAGGCTGAGCAAGTGCAGAATGGTGGTAGAATGTGCATTTGGACGTTTAAAGGCGCGCTGGCGCAGTTTACTGACTCGCTTAGACCTCCGCGAAACCAATATTCCCACTGTTATTACTGCTTGCTGTGTGCTCCACAATATCTGTGAGAGTAAGGGGGAGACGTTTATGGCGGGGTGGGAGGTTGAGGCAAATTGCCTGGCTGCTGGTTACGCGCAGCCAGACACCAGGGCAGTTAGAAGAGCACAGGAGGGCGCGGTACGCATCAGAGAAGCTTTGAAAACCAGTTTCATGACTGGCCAGGCTACGGTGTGAAAGTTCTGTTTGTTTCTCCTTGATGAAACCCCCCGCCCCTTGGTTCACTCTACTTCCCTGTAAGCTAACCACCCTCCCCTCCTCCCTTCAATCACCGCTTGCAGAGGCAATAAAGTCATTGCTGCTTCACAGTCATGCATTTGTTATTCATTCATCACACAAACAGGGAGATGACTACCAAGGTATCCCAGGAGGGGTGGTGGAGGAGGGAAGGAAAATGCCACACAGCACTTTAAGCACAGCACTTTAAAAGTTTACAACTTTAAAATTTATTGAATGACAGCCTTCTTTTTTTTGGGCAATCCTCTGTGGTGGAGTGGCTGGTTGGCCGGAGGCCCCCCCACCGCGTTCTTGGGCGTCTGGGTGTGGAGACTATGGAACTTGGGGAGGAGGGCAGTTGGTTAAAGAGGGGCAGCAGTGGCAGTCTGTGCTCCAGCTGCCTTTGCTGCAGCTCAACCATACACTGGAGCATACTGGTTTGGTCCTGCAGCAGCCTCAGCATTGAATCCTGCCTCCTCTCATCACGCTGCCGCCACATTTGAGCTTCAGCCCTGTCTTCAGCCCGCCACTTACTCTCTTCAGCCCTCCACCTCTCCTCCCGGTCATTTTGTGCTTTCCTGCACTCTGACATTATTTGCCTCCACGCATTCGTCTGTGCTCTGTCAGTGTGGGAGGACAGCATGAGCTCGGAGAACATTTCATCGCGAGTGCGTTTTTTTTCTTTCTAAGCTTCACTAGCCTCTGGGAAGGAGAAGATCCTGTGATCATTGAAACACATGCAGCTGGTGGAGAAAAAAAAAGGGACAGCGGTATTTAAAAAGACACATTTTATAAAACAGTCGCTACACTCTTTCAGGGTAAACCTTGCTGTTAACATTACATACATAGCACATGTGCTTTCGTTACAAGGTCGCATTTTGCCTCCTCCCACCGCGTGACTACCCCCTCAACCTTCTCCCCTCCCTGTGGCTAACAGCGGGGAACATTTCTGTTTAGCCACAGGCAAACAGTCCAGCAGGAATGGGCTCCTCTGAGTGTCCCCTGAAGAAAAGCACTCTATTTCAACCAGGTGACCATGAATTATATCTCACTCTCCTGAGGATAACACAGAGAGATAAAGAACGGATTTTGGTTGAATGCCAGCAAACATACACTGCAATGCTTTGTTCTACAGTGATTCCCGAGTACGTGTTACTGGCCTGGAGTGGTAAAGTGTCCTACCATGAAGGACGAAATAAGGCTGCCCTCCCCAGAAACCTTTTGCAAAGGCTTTAGGAGTACATCTAGGAGAACCGCAAATGCCAGGGCAAAGTAATCCTTTCACATGCTTGCTTTTAAACCATGTATAGCATTTTAAAAGGTACACTCACCAGAGGTCCCTTCTCCGCCTGCTGGGTCTAGGAGGCAGCCTTGGGTGGGTTCGGGGGGTACTGGCTCCAGGTCTAGGGTGAGAAACAGTTCCTGGCTGTCGGGAAAACCGGTTTCTCCGCTTGCTTGCTGTGAGCTATCTACAACCTCCTCCTCATCATCATCTTCTTCGTCCCCAAAACCTACTTCCGTATTGCCTCCATCTCCATTGAAGGAGTCAAACAACACGGCTGGGGTAGTGGTGGCTGAACCCCCTAAAATGGCATGCAGCTCATCATAGAAGCAGCATGTTTGGGGCTCTGACCCAGAGCGGCTGTTCGCCTCTCTGGTTTTCTGGTAGGCTTGCCTCAGCTCCTTCAGTTTCACGCGGCACTGCTTCGGGTCCCTGTTATGGCCTCTGTCCTTCATGCCCTGGGAGATTTTCAGAAAGGTTTTGGCATTTCGAAAACTGGAACGGAGTTCTGATAGCACGGATTCCTCTCCCCAAACAGCGATCAGATCCCGTACCTCCCGTTCGGTCCATGCTGGAGCTCTTTTGCGATTCTGGGACTCCATCATGGTCACCTGTGCTGATGAGCTCTGCATGGTCACCTGCAGCTTGCCATGCTGGCCAAACAGGAAATGAGATTCAAAAGTTCGCGGTTCTTTTCCTGTCTACCTGGCCAGTGCATCTGAGTTGAGAGTGCTGTCCAGAGCGGTCAGAATGGAGCACTCTGGGATAGCTCCCGGAGGCCAATACCATCGAATTCTGTCCACAGTACCCCAAATTCGAGCCGGCAACGTAGATTTAAGCGCTAATCCACTTGTCAGGGGTGGAGTAAGGAAATCGATTTTAAGAGCCCTTTAAGTTGAAATAAAGGGCTTCATTGTGTGGACGGGTGCAGGTTTAAATCGATTTAACGCTGCTAAATTCGACCTAAAGTCCTAGTGTAGACCAGGGCTTAGACATTAGAATAGATCTCACACTGAGAGAACATTTCCTGATAGTCCTAGTGATATCTGTGCATACTTGCATCTTGTAGTTATGATTAAATGTGGGGTTCATTTGCCACAAATACAGTTAAATGTAAAGCCTGATTCTTTGACCAGCTTGTCTAAATTTCCAACTGTATATAGAGTTAATTTGCATTTTGCACAGCCCTTGGAATGAGTAAAGAATACAGTCATTGAAGGAAATACGTACTTTTATCTTCTGTAAGTATAGAAAGATTCCAACTTCCTGACATTTTTATAAAGTAAAATGTAACTACTATACTTATTGCCTCTTGTGTTTTGCCTGCAGTGCTCCAGAATGGAATTATATTGATCCCAAACAAAAACAGGCTCTGGATAAGCAAGCAGATGATGGAGAGTTTTGGTAAGAATCATTTAGTGGGATTAATCCTTAGGAAACTGTACATGGAGATGTACAGCATTGCTTTGGATGGTGGTTGAGGAAAATACCACTATCCAAAGGGTTAATAACACAGCCAGGATGTGTGAGAGCCTGTTGGTTATCTCCCTTCCCATTCAAATATGACCTGTATATTAGGGTTTCTATAGCATGATGAGGTGGCAAGGATGTAGCTCAGATGCTCAATATTTTGTGGCTTGGATTTGGCTAAATAGTAGTGAGGAAGTTCAGCTTTATAGCTTGGTAGCATCTATTTACCGGGAGTGAGTGGAAAATCCAGCCCAGTATTTGGTTACATGGATTAATATTGAATTGATCTTTGTAGAACTCTACCCTCAATTAGAATGGCAGTTGTCCTCTTTGTGCAAATGTAAATAGCTACACAAGGTGCAAGACAGTGGAGAATCAGGGACGGATCTGATTCAGATTTTCTTTGCTGTGGATTTATTCAGTGTTAATTCCACTGACAGTGATGGAGTTATGCCTGATTTATGCCAGTGGAAGTGAAATCAGAATCATTCTGAGTGCAAGGAATGGTGTCAGTCCCCATGAGTGCTTGAATATCTGTTGGCAGTGTGTCCTGCTTTCCTGGGTAGCTGGCAACATGACCTGATTATCTTCTAATGTAATAATAAGGTGAATGTTACCCAGGCTGAGCTATCAGAGGGGGGTAAGAAACATCAACAATGGAAGGATAACCAATTTATTTTTTTTAAAAATCTCTGGGACTATCTGGATGTATGGCTCATTCCCCACATAGCTGCACTGATTTCAGTGAAATTATTTGGGTACTAAAGTATGATTCAGCATGAGCAAAGGTGGCACAGTTGAGCCCTTAATGAATATTAGCCATTGAGAACTGTTGCCTTAAAGGGGTGGTTGGGGTTCCTAGAAGCCAATTTTAGTTCCAAAGTTCAATTAGACTGAATTTCAGGGAATTCTCCTGTGGTTCTGCTATTTTCTGCCCCTTTAGAAAAGGGATCAATTCACAGTGGGTCTGGCCATGTTCCAAGTTCATGAATTCACCATGGTCTCTTTGTGTTCTTTGTCAGGATGGCATTCTCAGATTTTCAAAGACAGTTTACACGGCTTGAAATCTGCAACTTGACTCCTGACACCCTGACGAATGACAAGGTTCATAAATGGGGCCTGACCTTATTCAATGGTCAGTGGAGACGGGGTTCTACCGCTGGTGGCTGCCAGAACTATCCAGGTAAAGACCCAGGTGAAACTTGTTTGTGTGGTGAAGAAATAGATACAATTTCTTCCAACACAGGTTCCATGTTGTATCACTGTTGAAGCAGCAGTGTGGGTTGTTTCATGGAGGTGTGTGTTCTGGTGTTTTTATAGTTGGATCAAAGAGGTGAAGCAAAGATCTGGACTGGTTTAGTCCGGGGTCTAGGCTCAAGGCTGAATCAGGACTGTCTGTTTGGGTTTGAAGTTGAAAACTTGCAAGTGCTCTCATGAGATTTCAGCCAAAAGTGGCAGAAATTTCATGAGATCAGCTGGTATTTGGAGATTTCCATTATCAGGACTGGCTGGGAATCTGAGGTCAGTCATTTTCATGAGATTTCTGCCATCTTGGGCTGCATCAGTGCCTGATTCAGAAAATAGGTCAAGTCTCCTTTTCTCTAATTTGGAACCAGAAGCTTAGAAAGGAGTTAAGAGCCAGAAGGGTTTGGATCTGAAGTTCCTTCTCTAGGGTTTTTTACCTATTTTCTACACATGTTGATATTAACCCAAACCTATTTGGTCTAAATCAAAACCTGATTCAGACCCATTTTCTCATCAGGGTTTCTTCCCTCACTTGAGCAGTTAATTTACTGCACAGTATCTTTTCTTTATGCACTTTCCCTACCTGTATTACTCAGGCTTCTGACTGGACTAATCACCAGTGGATTGTGGAAGCCACAATACAGTCACAATTCAACACTAAAAGACACAGAGTATCGTAATTTGGCCTTGCATTTTCAGGTCAAACTTGAAGAGAGGCCCTCTGGGATTTGGCCATATAACAACAACAGTCTCAGCAGAGGACATTTCCTGGGACTAAATGACTACTTGGTGTTTATGGCATTGGCTCCTCCCAGCTAGTCATTACTCCCCAGGAGAAGTCTTTGTAATTTGTTATTGCTTAAATAAATATACAGCACAGCTGGAAAAACATGGAACCATATAATGTAATGGAAAGGTTTGACTGAACCCCAAAGAAGGTCTTTCCAAAGTGCTGTGTCTGTACGTCTCATGAGAATGACCTCAGTGGCAGTGAAAGCAAATGCTTTTTCCTTTCATTTTCCCTTGGGATTTTTTTAGTGACATACTGGACCAATCCTCAGTTTAAAATCAAGCTGGATGAGCCCGATGATGATGATGATGAAGGAAGCACTGTGCTGGTGGGCCTTATGCAGAAGAACCGCAGGAGACAGAAGAAGATGGGGGAAGGTCTACTCAGTATTGGCTATTCTCTCTATCAGGTATAGTAAGTCCCTTTTAAGGGGTTACTCAATGTTGTGCTCTCCTCGAGATCGGCAACGCTCAGGGAGGCTTTTGACTTTTCAGCATCACCTCAGTCAGGTTTTGGTTTTGCAAGATGGTTCAAATCCTTCTCTCATTCGATCTGACCCCCGTCGCATGGGAGTGTTCAGATAAATGGTTCAGGGTTTGTACCATTCAGTTTCTAACAGAGCGCTTCAAAAGTGGAGGTGGCTAATTTATCAACAGTCTCATTCAGGTCTTTTCTCTTGCAAAGCCTAAACAGTGCTGGTTCATAATGGAAGGAGATTCCAGATAAATGGTTCAGTTTTAGGCCCATCACTAGTTCCTGCTGTTCGCTTGAATTATTTTTCTTTGAATATGCAGATTGTGTTAGCTTCACTTCCTACCATAGTATTGTTCTGTTGGTTTCTGGTTTTATATAACACTTGCGTCACCACTGTCTGTGTAAACAGTTGGATAATATACTGTAGGGAACAATTCTGCAGAGGCCGGAGATGGGAGTAGGACTTTTCTATCTCTAACTTCTGTGATGCCATGGAAACAAAACAAAAAATCTGAAATTCCAACTGATATCATAATTCATTGCTTTTCTGCAGATATGAGATCATGAAGTGTAGCATAGACTCCCATAGGCAAAGGTCTTTAATGGGAATGACTAACTTTTGCTAAAGTAGCTTGTGCATTTTGGTTCCCTTATCTCCTGCACATGTGGGATAGCTTTTCTTCAGGGCTGAAAATGTGGCACTGGTACAAAATTGGCAAGGGTTTTCCCTGGTGCTAACGTGTCTGTGCACACAGCTAGCTCTGTGTTTCCCATGCCATCTGTTTAATACCAGGCAACCCAATCCATTTGCATTCTAGAATTTGCACATTAAAGAATGGCTCTCTCTACTTATCTATCACCATAAACAGACCAAAACACAATCTTTCTGCCTTAGTGTATTTCTGTCTTGGGAGATCTCACTCACCTGCCCACTTAATAATCTTTTACTTGTTAGGGTAGATCTAGTAACTCTTAACAAATGAACTCTACCTTGAAAGGAAGGGCTGCTAAATCCTCTAACCTGGACGCTCATCCATGATACAAGCTACCACTGGTGCTTTCGCCTATGGATGGATATAATTTCAGCTGAGACTATGGCCAAGGAAGACCTACTCTAGTCAGGAAAATGCTGAGCAGATGTGTATAACAAGAAAAGAGAATGGGCATACTGAAGCTTACCTGCCTGGTAGAATCTTATATAAGTCATGTCACTGAAGCTAACTGAAAGACAATTACAGTAGTAATAACTCTTACAACTGAGTGCACAGGCTTATACTCTTATATGGTATGAGCCTCCAACCAATGCACTCCTATCTAAACTAGACATAAAAGACGTTCTATAAGGGTATGTCTACACTACGAAATTAGGTCGAATTTATAGAGGTCGGTTTTTTAGAAATCGGTTTTATATATTCGAGTGTCTGTCTCCCCACAGAAAATGCTCTAAGTGCATTAACTCCGCGGAGTGCTTCCACAGTACTGAGGCAAGCGTTGACTTCCAGAGTGTTGCACTGTGGGTGGCTATCCCACAGTTCCCGCAGTCTCCGCTGCCCATTGGAATTCTGGGTTGAGATCCCAATGCGTGATGGGGCTAAAACATTGTCACGGGTGGTTCTGGGTACATGTCGTCAGGCCCTCCCTCCCTCCGTGAAAGCAAGGGCAGACAATTGTTTCACACCTTTTTTCCTCAGTTACCTGTGCAGACGCCATACCACGGCAAGCATGGAGCCCGCTCAGCTCACTGTCACTGTGTGTCTCCTGGGTGCTGGCAGACGCGGTACTGCATTGCTACACAGCAGCAGCAACCCATTGCCTTGTGGCAGCAGATGGTGCAATAGGACTGGTAGCAGTCATCGTCATGTCCGAGGTGCTCCTGGTCGCCTCTGTGAGGTTGATCAGGAGCGCCTGGGCAGACATGGGCACAGGGACTAAATTTGGAGTGACTTGATCAGGTCATTCTCTTTAGTCCTGCAGTCAGTCCTATTGAACCATCTTATGGTGAGCAGGCAGGTGATACGGATTGCTAGCAGTCCTATTGCATCATCTTCTGCCGAGCAGCCATGAGATGTGGATGGCATGCAGTCCTTCTGCACCGTTTGCTGCCAGCCAAAGATGGAAAAGATAGATGGAGTGGATCAAAACAAGAAATAGACCAGATTTGTTTCGTACTCATTTGCAAACCCCCCTCCCCCCCCGTCTAGGGGACTCATTCCTCTAGGTCACACTGCAGTCACTCACAGAGAAGGTGCAGCAAGGTAAATCTAGCCATGTATCAATCAGAGGCCAGACTAACCTCCTTGTTCCAATAAGAACAATAACTTAGGTGCACCATTTCTTATTGGAACCCTCCGTGAAGTCCTGCCTGAAATACTCCTTGATGTAAAGCCACCCCCTTTGTTGATTTTAACTCCCTGTAAGCCAACCCTGTAAGCCATGTTGTCAGTCGCCCCTCCCTCCATCAGAGCAACGGCAAACAATCGTGCATCTGAGTTGAGAGTGCTGTCCAGAGCAGTCACAATGGAGCACTCTGGGATAGCTCCCGGAGGCCAATACCATCGAATTGTGTCCACAGTACCCCAAATTCGACCCGGCAAGGCCAATTTAAGCGCTAATCCACTTGTCAGGGGTGGATTAAGGAAATTGATTTTAAGAGCCCTTTAAGTCGAAATAAAGGGCTTCATCGTGTGGACGGGTGCAGGTTTACATCGATTTAACACTGCTAAATTCGACCTAAAGTCCTAGTGTAGACCAGGGCTAAGAGGCTATGGGTGAATTTTTCAAAAGCACTTATGTGACTTGAGAGCACAAGTCCCATTGAAATTTGTGCTCTCAAATCACTTGGGTGCTTTTGAAAATCATGTCCTATATTCATAAGTGCAAATTGCAGCAGTGCTTTTTAGCTATTTTATTAACTTATCAAGGGCTAAATTACACAGATTAAAATTGCTTTGCAAAACTATTTGCCTTCTGGCAAATATTTTAATCACAAGTCAAAACAGATATCATCATTACATTTTTCATCAGTATTATGGTAATGGCAGGCAAATAGATTTTATGCCTGTTCTCATAAATTTTCAAAACAATTTTGAACTAAGCTCTCATTGCCTCTGAGTAAAAACAGAACATTTGGCCAAATCTTGAAATTAATTTTCCTTTGGAACAGTGCTAGCACAAGTGGAAACTTTGTGCATGGACTAGAATTGCATTAAATGGTTGTAAATAGGAATGAAAGACAAACTACCTGAGTCTATAAAATGTGGCATTAGTTAACATTTCACCCAACTGACTGCAGAAGATACTAAGCAGCCTCTTTTCATTATTAACTTCTCTTTTGCAGGTCCCTGAAGAGGTATGTACATTCCACTGGAGACTTCCATCCTCCAGATGGCCACCACCTGTTTAATACAACTGCTGCTTAAAGCATGGTGCCTTTTAAACTGACTACAAACCTTCGGGAGAACTTTGACTGGGGTGTTTTTTTTTAAATCACTAAATTGATATTTGAAGACCAACACTGCACTTCTGAATTGCCATTTTAAAGGAACTGTAGGATGAGGTTTCATCCCAGTCAGATTTTGATCTCATTTACACTAGTCTAAATATGGAGTGACTCCATTGACTGCCATTGATCTTAATATAACTAAGATCAGAATGGGATCTGTGTGTCTAGTAAAGATTATGGCAGAACAAGGTCCATACTGTATTTTCCTTTCCTGCTTAGAGGAAACCCAGTTTACATTATTTAAAGAAATATCAAACTCTGTGGCTCCCTCTATCTTTGCTGGGCAGTGGCACAATGTCATCAATTTACCCAACTCTATCTCCTCAATCAAGTGTCAATGTTAAGATAAAGAGGCTTTCCATTTCTAAAATTAGGACCACAAAGGGGTGTTTAGAGCTAGATGGAGTCATGTTCATTACTATAGTGTAGCATTCTGTGCTGCCAATTTTGCTGTGTTTTTTTCATCCCCTTTGTTCTTGCCCAATAACGTAATGTGCAGCTATGTACCAATTATCTGCTCTCTGTTTACAGCTTCAGACACAAAGGGAAATGGAACTTATACATTGAAAAAATGCTGGATCTGATTTCTGAATTTTTCATTGCGTGTAGTTTCGCTTCAGAATGGGTGGGGAGAAATAGTTTGAATAGTTGATTATACCAAAACCCAATCCTTACTTTAAAAAAAGAGAAAAGGCACCACATTATTCTATAGCTTACAACAGAGATGCTGTAGTGTTTAGGGCTATTATTGTTAAATATACTACTTTTATATAAGAAGTTACATCTGATCACCCTTACAAATGAGTTCAGCTCATTTACCCTGTGACCTGGCTTTATAGTCAAGCCAGAAACACAATCAGTGTAGCAGTCGGCACACCCTCTGTCAAACATGCTCCACCTTTCTTGTATCATTGCCTTGATGAGTCACACATTTTGAAGGAAAAGTTTATGGAGTAAAGGTAAGTTGAATGAGATTTCTAAAGGTGTATTTCGCACTGGGATCTTGTTTTTAATTGTGTTCCGCTATGAGTGGCTGATTTGCTTAAACTCTGTAGAGTGTAACCAGATTATCAGTTCATGGAACTGTTGAGTTGGATTTTCAAAACAGATAAGGGATTAGCCACACATTTCCCACTGAAATGAAGGGGAGTTGTGTGGCTAAATCCCCTCGTTGGCTTTGAAAACCTCAAGCCATGTTATCCTTATGCCTACTGTTAGAGGTAGAAGGTGCTTGAAGTTTCCATTGAAGCAGCATAGCCAATAAAAAGAATATTCTGTTTGTAGTGTTGCTGAAGGACAACCTGCATCCATTCACAGTTTTGGATTATGGATACTGTCAGAAGCAAGGAATAGATGATAGGGCTGTGAGGCTGGTGAAACAGGTGACTGAAGAAATCTGAGAGTTAGCCATGGTACATGGGTGCTAGAGCTGCAATGCTAACAAACATCTGCGTGAATTCTGAATGGCCATTTGGCTTGTTCATATGTGTGTCCCTTATTGCTATACATGAACACTCTCATGACTAGGGTTTTGTCCTCTTGAATATTTTGTGCTCACGAATGCCACAGTGATATGAGAACAAGCGTGTTAGCTATTCACTCTTTTCCTGTTTAAAAATATTTAGTCCTCCAATCGCAGAGCAGAAACAGCACGTGACTTTCGGGTTGCCAGTTTTCATTGGATGTATTCCTGGAGATTTCATCTCATGACATAATCTTTAAAGATTAATCTTTAACTCCTGGAGACTTTAAATCCTGGAGGGCTGGCAGCACCATGTGGCTTAGGTGACCAATCACATGCCATGAATAGTCAAAGCGAACAGTTTGCAAACACCCCATAGGCTGAATAAAATTTGTAAAAAATCAGTCTTTTCATGTACAATTCATGAAAAGAAAGTGCTAAATTAACAGAACAACTTATTCACAACAAATTTGTCAAGCTGTGAGTGCACATTAACATGGTTGTATTTGCTATTGTCTCACAGACATTAGAGACACATAAGTTTGATCCTGATAGAGTTAAGCACCATCCCCTTTCTGTTGTTCAGCCTGTTCTGGGTTTGTTTTTTATGTTGATATGGCAGAACATTCGTGCTTGTCTCCCTTGCCTGCACTCAGAGGTTATATTGCTTCCAAGTAGCATAAAGTTCTGGGGATGGCTTTTAAACAATGAAATAGAACTAGGGAAATTAGGCTTTCTGGTGACTTTATCCAGTTGATTTTTTTTTAATAGAATATTATTTTTGCCAGCTGAAAAATCACACAGATGTCCATCTGAGCCGAGATTTCTTCACAACCCACCGACCAGTAGCCCGGTCTGACACCTATGTTAACCTGCGCGAAGTCTCCAGCCGTCTCAAACTGCCCCCAGGAGAGTACCTCATTGTGCCATCCACATTCGAGCCTTTCAAAGATGGAGAGTTCTGCCTTAGAGTTTTCTCTGAGAAACAGGCTAAAACTCAGTATGTATCTTCTTCATAATTCTGTCTGCTCAAGGTGAAGTATGCAAGGAACAAGGTGGAATGATCCACACTACATGGGAGACTTGCGAGTTGAACCTTTAAGGCCCCCAACTCATGGGCTACTTGTATCAGTCAATACATCCACACACAGGTGCCAACTTTCTCATTTCTCTGGGGATGCTCGAGCTCCACCTGCCCTCTTCCTGCCTCCACCCCACCTCTTCCCACCCTGTTGCACGCCCTGTCTCTGCTCTGCCCCCTCCCCCAGGGCCTCCTGCCTGCCACTGAACAGCTGATCCACAGTGGGTTGGAGGTGAGGGTGGGGGGAGGAGCAGATTGGCAGGGCCCACTGGTGGGTGCTCAGCACCCACTATTGTTTTTTCTGTGGGTGCTCCAGCCCACATTATAGAGCAATGGCTTGCCCACTATGTTCTAGCACCCACTACTGTAGTATCTGAATACCACCTGGGGTCTACAGAGTAAAAGTTTTGTCAAAAAGTGCCATGGGAAACATAAAAACGGCTATATTGTGGCAGATCAAAGGTCCACCTAGCCCAGTATCCTGTCTTCCGACAGTGGCCAATACCAGGTGCCCCAGAGGGAATGAACAGAGCAGGCAATCACCAAGTGATCCAGCCCCTGTTGTCCACTCCCAGCTTCTGGTAATCAGAGGTTAGGGACACTCAGAGCATGGAGTTGCATCCCTGACCATCTTGGCTAATAGCCATTGATGAACCTATCCTCCATGAACTTTTTCTTTTTTAAACCCCATTATAGTCTTGGCCTTCACAATATCCCATGGCAAGGAGCTCCACAAGTTGACTGTGTGTGTGAAGAAGTACTTACTTTTGTTTTGTGTTTTGTTGTTTTTTAAACCAGCTGCCTATTAATTTCATTGGGTGACACTGGTTCTTGTGTTATGTGAAGGCGTAAATAACACTTCATGAGTGGTGTGGAGAAAGTAAATAACGATTTTATAGACCTCTATCATATCCCTGATTAGTCTTCTCTTTTCCAAGCTGAAAAGTTCCAGTCTTTTTAGTCTCTCTTTATACAGAAGCTGTTCCATACCCCTAACTTTTTTTGTTGCCCTTCTCCACCTTTTCCAATTCCAATATCTTTTTTGAGATGGGCTGATAAGAACTGCACACAGTATTCAAGGTGAGGGTGTACCATGGATTTATATAGTGGCATTGAAATTTTCTGTTTTATTATCTGTCCCTTTCTTAATGGTTCATAGTATTTAGCTGCTTTGACTGCTACTGCACATTGAGCAGATGTTTTCAGAGGAAGGATCAGAAGTGTGGGGGAAGAGACAGTCGTCAAGCATATATATCCTACAAAGTGGCCAGTAGAAGGAAAAGGCTGGAGAGGCTGAATACACGGCAAAAGAAAATCTCACCTGGTGTGCATGATTTTTAAAATGTAGTGGTGTGTGCTGAGGTAGGATTATTGCAGACTGAAAAGCTCAAGTTACCGTGTTAGAGACCGCAGTCCTATACAAGGATCCATTGCTTTGTAAATACTAGATTGGTCATTTCTTTTATTTTTATGTTTCCTCAGGGAAATTGGTGATGTAGTGGCTGCAAAACCATATGAGGTAAATGCCAGTTAGGTCTAAATGAACAGCTTCTTGGGCAAGCAGACATTTGATTTGGGATTTTGTTGCGGTTGGCTTGAGCTGAAATCAGAGTATCCATACTTGTGTAAAGAAGCCCTGTAATTGAAAACCTCCTTTCCCTATCTATCTGGCTTACAGGTTCCATGTGCATTTTTGGGGCAAAATTTTGCCCATGCAATTCTGTAACTGAGCTGTAGTACATCAGTTCAGAATACATATACACAAGGAGAATATAATACCGTGGTACAGTGTGATCCTTTCCATAAAGAAGAATTTCAAAAGCAGACCTCCAAGGAACTGTGTAATTGCTATAGACAGGCTCAATATAATTTTTCTCCACATCTATTTTGTGATCATAATGTGATAACACAAGAGTCCTTTCCAATCAGGGTCTGACTGCCCAGTAGTTAAACATCCGCAGCTGACTTGGGACAGGCTGCGGGGCTATAAAATTGCTGCGTAGACATTCAGGCTTGGGCTTGAGCCAGAGCTCTCTGACCCCGCTCATCTTCCAAATGGAATTAAGCCATTTATTTAGGAAATTTTGTTTGGCAATTTCAAACACCTCCACCCATTTCCTGGCACCTGTGTCTGGAATAATAAACCACATTATTGGTTCTCTCTTCCCTTTAGCCTCATGTTGATGACAAGGGCATAGATAAGGAGTTCAAGAGCCTGTTTCAGAAGCTTTCTGGAGAGGTGAGTGGTTTAAAGAGAGAAAAAGATAGTGACATCTTAATAGAGAGGTAGAAAACTATTTTGAGTACCAATTCTCTTGTTTATCTAGTCTTCTGAAGAATAGAATGGATTTCCCCTTTTATTAACTCTCGGCTACCATTTTGGTCCAATTTAATGTACCTTACAGTAGAACAGTTGTACTACGTTATTCCTCATATCGGTGCTGAATGTGATTCTCTCAAGGTGTAGCCTCCCTTTAAGAATGGTGGAAGTGAGTGATGTTACTATGTGGTGATATAAATTACCTGGGGAGTCAGCTACCTGGTGCTGGTGCATAATTTGGAGTGTTGTACTAATAGATATTAGGACTATATTCCTTGTTGGTTAGAAGTTGCTGGACCCAGGAATCCTTTAGCTAGAGGGTAGTATTGCACTCTCTACTGCATAGGAGACCTTGGCATCTGCAGGATCCTGCTGCACAAACTAGCTTGTAGCTGTCGCATTGGGTTTGCTCTTAAGGAGCAAATACCTGGGGCCAATTTTAAGTGTGAGAGCATCATTTTTAGCCAGAGAAGCCTGTTTGAGTTGTGATTGGTGAATTTCAGCTGCTTCCCTTTCAGTTTCCATAAGTCTGGATGTGTTTCTGAATCTCCTTAGTTGAGGAACTGAGCCAGTGGTTGCTGGTAGACACGTCACATTTAGTGGGTTGCCACACTGTGGTACCTGAGATACCACTCACTTCACGTTCTAAGTATAAGGAAATATCTGTGGTGTGTCCTCGGGCTTTGTCTACAGTAGCACTTTTGTCGGCAAAACTTTTGTCGGTATAGAGCGGCTACACGGGAGACCTTAGCGTTAGAGTCCCAAGCCTTAAGATAAGGATGAGAAGTGGAGTTGTCTGTAGGAGTATTGCAGTGAATGAAGGCTCAATTGATTTGTTCCAAACATTTATGTTATCACCTGAAATGTGGTTTTTTTTTTCTTGTTTCCAGGACTGTGAAATGACAGCAAATGAACTTCAAACTCTTCTGAATAGGGTATTAGCAAAGAGTAAGTGACACTAGATGTTTCACACTGAGCAAGGCTGGTAGGCAGATGCTGCAAGTAAGACATACAGGATATCTCTTTGATTCACAATGAATTTCTGTACCATGGTCCTTTCTGATAGCACATAAACAAGTAATAATGTTTAAAGAGAACTGCTGGGATCCGTTCAGGGTAATGAATCTTTCTGTAAGATAACTGTCACCCCAAATAATGGGACTGGAATGTGGAGTCTGAATAGAGAGGTCAGGGTTTGTCCTGGGAGAAGTGACTGGGTCTCACTCCCTGTGTGTTTCTACATTTGGATCTGGCCTAACAAACTGTACAGGTACTTGTCTGAAATCCATGCCTAAGGAGGACTCCAGAGGTGCTGCTGTGTGGCACACCATGGCCCCTATATTGACAACACAGATGTAATCTGGTTTTCCTGCTCCAAAAGCACAATCCTCTGCCACATGGGCTAAGGGGAAATCTCTATTAGCAGTACAGGATTTATGATAGAATGTGCAACTCTGATTCTACCAGTAGAGGGCACCTGCACATACACGCTACCCGGTTCATTATAGTGTATTCTGTGTAACCTACATTGATTACAAAAGGATCAATTTTGTTCAGTGCAAACACAGAAGCTCTTTCTTTACAATGGATGCAACACAGATCCTTGCCAGGGCAGTTTGGGAAAAGCATGTACTGCAATTGCCCATGCTGTATATGTTCTGTGAATAAACAGACCTTTCCTCTCTGGTATTTTTTGAATCCAAACCCTTTCGCTTGTACTAAATATTCACTTTCTTTTTTTAATAAGTTGGGAGAGGAGGTGCATAGAAGAAATGTTGGTAGTAATGAAAGTGTATTTGCCCTAGTAGCAGATGCTGACTGTGGGTGGACTGTATTTCTGTGGGCTGCAGAAAATATTTGTCTAAAGTATTTCTGACTTTGTTTTTATTCAGGGGCAGACATTAAAAGTGATGGATTCACCATAAACACCTGTAGAGAGATGATCAGTCTCTTAGATGTATCCTTTAAATGTCACTTCACTGTTCTCTGAAGTTCCTAGATCTCCCTGGCAAAGACCTTGGACTAGATAAGGCTAGATTTACACTTCCGATTTTCCCAGTGCATCTGCCTTCACTTGCTGTAGGCATAAAATTCAGAAAAGTGGCTCTGTCAGCACAGTGTGGCAGAGACGTTAACCCTCAAGTGGCCAGATCTTCACCACCCCTGCTTTGTGGCTTTCATATGTTAATGATTTCTTTAGACATAGCTGGTCTACTCTGCAGCACAGCAGGGGCATTCTGCCAGAATTCACCTAGTGCAGCAATGGGAGCTCAGGGTAGACATACCCAGTGTGCTTGGGAAGCTGTGCAGTGGTTGTTATACACACTGTGAACTTCCTTCTGCAGGGCCGTATGGTCTTCTCTCTTTACACAGTATAGCCCTAAAGGTGCAGAGAAAGATCAGAGGAACTATGTGATAGGGAAAGGCTTTGCATGCCCCGTCCCATTGCATGCCTCCTGTGGGAGATGAGCTTCACACGGCCAGAGGACGAGGGTTAGGACAGTGGTGGCAACCTGCAGCCGGTCAGGGTAATCCGCTGGCAGGCCGTGAGACAGTTTGTTTAACTTGACCATCTGCAGGCACGGCCGCCCGCAGCTCTCAGTGGTCACGGTTCACCATTCCTGGCCAATGGGAGCTGTGAGATTTAAAAATTTGATTGAAAAATGGTCAATGATGGAGAATCTACCACAACACTTGGTAAATTGTTCCAATGGTTAATTACTGTCACTGTTAAAAATGTACGCCTTATTTCCAGTCTGAATTTGTCTGGCTTCAACTTCCAGCCATTGGCGTGTGTTGTACCTTTCTCTGCTAGACTGAAGAGCCAACTAGACTAATCAAGTTACCCCTTAACCTTCACGTTAAGAAGAACCGATTGAGCAACTTGAGTCTATTGCTAGGAGGCATGTTTTCTAATCCTTTAATCGTTCTCATGGCTCTTCTCTGAATCCTCTCCAATTTACCAACATCCTTCTTGAATTGTGGGGGTCAGAACTGGACAAAGTGTTCCAGCAGTGGTCATACCAGTGCCAGATAAAGAAGTAAAATAACCTCTTTACTCCAACTGGAAAGTCCCCTGTTTATGCATCCCACAACCTCATTAGCTCTTTTGGACACAGCATCACACTGGGTGTTCATGTTAGCTGAACCCACCACAACCCCAAAACAGTTTTCACACTCCCTGCTTCCCAGGATGGAGTCTCCCATCCTGTAAATAAGGCTACCATTCTTTGTTCCTAGATGTATACTTTTTACATTTAGCGGTATTAAAACACACATTGTTTGCTTACGCCCAGTTTACCAAGTGATCCAGATTGCTCTGAATCAGTGACCTGGCCTCTTCATGATTTACCACTGCCCCAATTTTTGTGTCACCTGCAAACTTTAATTTAATTCAGAATCTCTTATTAGTTGGAACCTTTGTTCTTTTTAGCAGTCAGAGGTTCTTGGCTCAGCACAGATGTAATCAGCATAGATCAGGGCAGCTTCTGATCCTGATAGCTAATGAGTGTCCAATGTAAGGTCAATCACAATGTAAGGTCATCCACCAGGATGTCCAAATTGCCAGGGCCCATACTTTGAGAGAAGTCTGTGTCCATGTCCTCATCACTCTTATCACCGTGCTGCTGTCGCCTCCTTGCCTGCTTTTGCAGGTTCTGGTTCTGCACATACTGCAGGATAATGCGCGAGGTGTTTACAATGCTCATAACTGCCACGGTGATCTGAGTGGGCTCCATCTTGCCGTGGTATGGCGTCTGCAGGAGAGCAGAGTGGCAGCGGAAGCAGTGGCTGATGACACATGCCACGAGAATAGATATTTATAGTGAATGATGAGAGGACCTGTGAGGTGGATTCAGGAGAGCAGCATGGCAGCGGAAGTGGTGGAGGACTACGGTTAGCACCGCACACATTTCCCAAGGAAGAACACACGTACCCAGGAGCCTGTGACAGACAACATGGAGAAATTCGCTATTGAGACAATAGCAGCAGAGCAGCGGTGGATGACGACAGTTAGCAGTCCTACTGCACCATCTGCTGAAAGCAGAATGGTGTTCGCACGGGGTGGGGAAAGGCACGAAACGATTGTCTGCCATTGCTTTCAAAGAGGGAGGGGTGACTAATGTACCCAAAACCACCCCCAACAATATTTTTGCCCCATCAGGCATTGGGAGCTTAACCCAGAATTCCAATGGGCAATGGAGATTGTGGGAACTGTGGGATAGCTACCCCTAGTGCATTGCTCTGTAAGCCTCTGCTAGTCATGGTAGTGAGGACGCACTCCGCCGACTTAATGCACTTAGTGTGGACGTACGCAATCGACTGTATAAAATTGATTTCTAAAAATTGACTTCTATAATATCAAACTAATTTCGTAGCGTAGACATACCCGTAGTCTATTAAAAAAGAACTTTCAGTAGTGGTTACTCCTCTCTGTATGAAATGGGAGTGTAATCTAATAGGTGTAGTACCTTTTTAACAATCCACTACAGTACTGCAGATAGCCCAGGAATTCTTAGCACACCCTTAGCTAAGCAAATTTAAAACTGCAAGTCTCTCTCTAATGGGTGGATTACAAATGAAAACTACTGTGAATAGTACACTACATTGCAATGGGTCATTTATTTGTATCAGTGCCGGTTACTCTTCCTCTTTGATATGGGTAGAAACTGATCCATTCTGAATTTGAACCAGGCCTTAACATACCCAGACCAATGGGACTGGCACCTTGGATGTTGTAGAATTCAAGATACTTTGGCTGAAGATTCAAAAATATTTGGTAACTAACTTATTTCATTGTTTCCCTGCCCCTATCTAGCTCTGTGAAATACAGATTTAAACAGAGATGGGTCCAAGCCACCAAGGTCAGAAACAGGTCCCAATTTCCCATTATGTTTGGAGTTTTGCTCAGAGCTCTAGTTCAGATACATTTCTGATTTAAAGAGACATAGTCAATTCCTCTTCCACCCTGGCCCCTCCCACTCTATTTTGGAACACTTTTTTAGAAGGTTGAACAACTCCTTTGGCTTGGTGATTTCATTCCTACCTGCTAGGCAAACACGGATTCATCCCCACCTCTTACATTTTAATACAGCTGAAATGAACATGGCTCTGTTGTTGTGCTGTGCAACATAATTACTTGTGCACCAAACTTTCTAATACCTGCTCTGGAATAGAGTTTTATAGTTAACTGCTATAGCAGAATACAAGGCAATTCTATTTTTGCAGGGCTGACTAAAATAGATATTGTTTAGGTTTTTTTTTTTTAAATGTCTCTGTGACGGGTTCCCCCTGGGTGCCACCTGGAACTGGGGTACCACTGGGCCCTTTGACCCACCAGCCTGGGCTCCTGCTCACACTGTGTTTCTGTGACAAGCTGCAGACATGCTCCTGGTCTTGCACTTCCACCAGCATACGCACAGATATGGAAGCACCTAGCTGCAGTTACATGCAGTCGCTTTGACCAGCCACTGCATGAACCAACAATAGAGAGGCTACAGTCAAAATAACCACTATCTTCCCAGCCTAGGACCCCAGAGCTTTACTATCCTGCCCTGGTCCAAACCACAACCACTATGAATTTATTTTCCTGTTCACCTCCCACTCAGTGCGGAGGGGAAATGCAACAGCCCCTCTGAGCCAAGATTCCCAGGCACTTCACTCCAAACCCACTGGTTTAGATTAAAACATAAAATAAATTTATTAACTATAAAAGTTGGATTTTAGGTGATTATAAGGGATAGCAAACAAATAAAAACACAAAGTTTAATCCACTAGTTAGATTGACTATGAATTAGCAGTTTCTCACCCTGACTGATGATACCAGCAGTCTGGCAGATTCTCAAAGCACAAGCTGCATTTAATTTGCAGCTTGGGTTTCTCAGGTTTCCATACAGAGGCTAGAAATCCCTTTAGCCTGGATCCAGAACTTTCCCCAGTTCAGTCTTTGTTCCTTAGGTGTTTCCAGGAGTCCTCTTGTGGGGGGAGTGAAGAACAACCAATGATGTTACTCCCTGCCTTATATAGCTTTAGCATATGGCAGGAACCCTTTGTTTCAAAGCTTGGTTCCCAGACCATGTTGTGGAAAAATACTGACATCCCAAGCTGGAGTCCAGAGTCACATGGCCTGGTCACAGGACCTTGCATACCTTGCTGAGTCATAACAGCCATTACTTACAGGCCCTCGAGCATTCTCAGGGAGGCTCACCAGGTAATGGATAAGCTTCTCCTAAGGCTTATTGTTTTTTCCTAATGGCCCATTACCTGAATAGGCCCTTCTCCACCCACTATCTAGACTGAAAGCATCTTGCCTATTCGGTATCAACTTGGTATAACTACATTCATAATAGATACATAATATTAATAACATCAGATACAAAAATGATACATGCATGCATATAGGATAATCATATTCAGCAAATCATAACTTTTCCAATCACACCTCACATGACTTATCTTGTACAAAATGCATCATAATTATGCCATAATTATATAATATTACTGTGACAAATATGGGGTGCAGTGCCCCAGTCTCCACGAAAGTGCTTCCCCCCCCATAGAAAGTTTAATATCCAGAAGATTTTCTCCAGAATCAGTTTAAAGAAGGCCAAAGTTTGGACTTAACCTACTTGATAATGCCCCTTTAAGATAAGCTTTTGGGATGGTACGCATTACAGGCCTGCTCCTGTGAAGTGCAGAGCTCCCTCCTTTCCCATTGAAGCCAAGGAGGAGGTGCTTAGCTCCTCACAGGTTGGACACATTCTGATCACCAGCATGCAATGAGTAGATGGCCTGCGTAAATGAAAACATGCCCCAAGTGCAGTTTCCCCTCTGAGCTGCAGGCCAGAATAGTTTCTAATTACTCAGCTAGAGCTGGCTAGCAGATCAATTGGCTGTGAGAACTGCCTGTTGTTTCTTTTGAAGTGCTAACCAAAATGGAAGTTGTATATTACAGTGTTCGCTGAGTGAGGGGGATATTCCTCAAGGGCCTATTTGCCACAGCACAACATGCCGATGGGCAAGCTGCCAGACCACTGGGAATAGTTTCCCAGGGCACAGTTTGCCATTAGCTAATTGAAAATTTTCCTTCAGTCATTTACACTTTCAGAGAAAAGATGCATTGGCTGGCAGTAGCGATGCATTGGCTGGCAGTAGCAATGCATCTCCCAGTCAGTCAGATAGGGCTCCTAACAGTCTAAAGGCAGACTCAATACTTCCTCTTTCTTCTGCTGCAGGAGATCTACAAGAAAGTGGATACGGACTATTCTGGTACCATAGATGCTCATGAGATGCGAAATGCCCTCAAGGAAGCAGGTAAATATCACGTGTAGAAAGGATGCCCTAATGTGGTATTCCGTATTTTAAAAAAATGAAATATTGAGGCATTCTGACTACTCTACTATCCCTCCTGCCTCGTAGCGTCATAATTGTGGTGACATCATTGACTTGCCTCTCTCTCTTCCTGATCCCCATATATATCCCCTGGCCACGCCTCTTCCTTGGCCGTACTGTCCACTTCTGGCGTGGTGCTGGCCAGCTCTGGACCCCCTGCAGGATCAGTTTTTCTGTGGATGATTTGTATCTCTGCAAGCTCTTTCCTGGGGGACTTTCTGTGGGTGGGTCCCTGCACTCTGGATTAGGCCAGAAGACGTCTCATTAACATGATCCTAAATCAAGCCCTAAAACTCAACACCAGCGTGTTATGTAGGTAATGGACTCTGCTGCAATTGCTGCTGTTTGGCTCAGGCCCCAGGAGTGCAGTAAGTCATATTAATTAGGTGCTTATCTCAGGATATAGGGCTAAGGAACTCTGCAGAACAAGTGGAACATATACAGTTTGGCAAGGTTTTGGGAAGAGAATTATGCCTGTCTCCACCATAGCACAATGGGCTATAGAAAGGAGAATACACAGTAGAGATAATGGAGACCAACAACTCTTCTAGGAGGAATAGTCCATAATTCTTCAGCCACGTCTTTCTGCAGCTGCAAAAATTCCATGTGCAACCTGCATTAAAAAGTGTATGTAACTGCTGCTTGAGTGATTTCTGTGCTTTCAGGTTTCACTCTCAACAATAAGGTGCAAAACATCATTGCTATCCGCTACGCCGACAGCAAGATGACCATTGACTTTGACGGCTTTGTTGCCTGTATGATCCACCTAGAGACCCTCTTCAGTAAGTTCCTTCTTTTGAAGCCGCTGAGCAGAACTGCTGAACATTGCGGGGGGGGGGGGGGGAAAGGGGGGTGTTTGTTCAGTGCTTGGTATTTTTGTTTAAATTGGAGTGCTGAGTGCAGAGTACTGTGTGGAAGTGTAAGGGAGCCAGCAAAACTGGCTCTGCTGCGCAAACCAATAGAGAAGGCCCCAGACAAAAACTGGAGGAATTCAGTCCAGATCCAAACCTTAATCATCTTTCTTCTAGACAATAGTCATGGACTAGATTGTGGAGCACTTACTCAGCCTGGAAGAATCTCCTACTCATGCAAGTAGGCCACTGGCTTCAATGAGACTATTTGTGTTAGTAAATGTTCAACCAAATGAGTAAGGCTTGTGCAATCTAGCCGTAAATTTGCACTTACAGACACATTTTTAAAGGTTCTAGGTCCCTAAAGATGTAGATGAGTGCCTAGTGGGGTTTTCAATGGGAGTTAGGTGCCTAGGTTGTCTTGAAAATCTCACTAGGTACCTATCTGCATCTTTAGGCACTTTATATCTTTAAAAATCTGTCCCTCTGAGCTTTGCAAGCCATACCTCTTTAATCTTCACAGCACCCCCATTAGCTCCATTTCAGAAGTGAAGAAAGGAAGGCATGGAGAGGTTAAGAGACTTGCCTCAAGCCAACCAGGAAGCCCCTGGGCAGAACTGGGAACAGGAGTTAGGCATCCCTAGCTCAGCCAACCAAATGTATCCATGCTGGAGGCTTGCCACCATGGCCTGCCCTTTCCTCAGTTCTCTAGTCCACACTGAATTTAGCAACTCCAATGAGTTCTGAGAATGGCAAAGTTTCAAAATGGGGAAGGTGAAAGCTGTTCTGATAAAAATAAGAACTGGCCCAAATCTTCACCTGAAAGTCAAACCGAAACCAAACCAACTTCTCTAACTTGTTCAAATGATTTCTGGGTGCCATTTATCTCAAATGAACCTCTGAACCCTTTTTAAGGTTTGCCCAGCACCAGTTCAAAGCCCTTTGTCTGTAAAAGGGTCAAGGATGCAGATTATTCTCTTGTATTGAGGCTTGGTTAATTAAAAATAAACTCAATGTTCACATTGAGAAGACAGTGGAAATATAGAATATGCTTTTGTTTCGGGGCAGTGAAGGAGTTTCATGGGTTTGTATGGCTATAAAAATCAGATTTTGTATCTAATCAGCCACTTAAGAAGCTGTTGTACTCTAGGATTATGGGAGGGAGGAAAAGGAGTAGCCATCTAACCTCCTGTTGTAAATTCTGAAGAAACACCCAGTATAATAATAGATCAAGGACAGTCTGATTCTTTTAGGGATTGTTGATAGAGATGGGCTGACAAAAGAGGAGAACTCACTTACTCTTTTGAATGAATGCAGTCTAATGTTAACTGTTCCATTTGACTGACCATTGGGGATTCTTCCAAGATGGTGAAACGCTTTTCTTAATCCTCCTATGACTTATAATCACATGCACTATGTTTCCAGTGCTCTGCCCCCACATTAGTCATCTCCCACTAGTGATATAAAGAAAAGGAGTACTTGTGGCACCTTAGAGACTAATTTCAGGTTTCAGAGTAACAGCCGTGTTAGTCTGTATTCGCGAAAAGAAAAGGAGTACTTGTGGCACCTTAGAGACTAACCAATTTATTTGAGCATGAGCTTTCGTGAGCTACAGCCACAAGTACTCCTTTTCTTAGAGACTAACAAATTTATTTGAGCATAAGCTTTCGTGAGCTACAGATCACTTTAGTGATATAGTTTACCTTATCTGTGCCTGGGTCAGATCTCAGATTCATGGGTGCATCCCTACATATCATGTGAAATGGCCAGTGCTTTGTGGCTGTCCTGTTCTGAACACACAATGTGTCATAGTGGGTCCCGCCTGATATGCTATCCCATGCTTATAAGTGGCTTATGAATGATACTTAAGAGGAAGGGAGGGAAATAATCTGTAATGCTCCTATCCAATTGTGACTCAAAATTTGCACCTGAATCCAGATTTGAATAGGCCACGGAGGGAGGCCTCCATATTTTGTCAGACACCGTGTTACTTATATTTTATTTCTTCCCTTCTTTTGTTCTTCAGAAATGTTCCAGCTCCTAGACAAAGACAAGAATGGAGTCATCCAGCTCTCTTTGGCTGAGGTAAGGCTAGTTACATCAAACTACCCTATGGTTAAACTGTTGTGATGACTGGTCACAATTAAAACATATTTCCCCAGGATGTCCATTATCAGCTTTATAAACAAATGAAATAGCGATTCAAACAGGAGACCTACTGAAGATTCAGCAGCGAAAGAGAGATTTTTCAGACAAAAAGCTCTTACTAAAATCCTTCCTAAGCCAGTAGTTGTTCTTCCAGAGAATGAACACTTATCACACATACAGTGAGAGAGAATTTATTCAAAATGCCTCCATTTGTCTAGGAGATGATATCCTTATGGGTATTTTCATTCTCTTCTTTTAAAGTGGAGCAAACCACTAGAAAATGCACAGCAGGGAACAATTCTTGCAGAGGCAGAGGGTGAACTAAATGACCTAACAGCACCTGAAAAAGACCTTTTAAGATGTCATGTCTTTCCCCCCACCCCCTCCTTTTTAAATGAGGGTTTTCATTATTCAAACCAAAGTTGTTCAAAAGTAAGGAGGCCCAGTCCTTCCTCTGCAGGGAAAATCCAAGTGGAAAAATGAATGGCAGTCCCCCACTATGATTCCAGTGGCAGTTCGTTGTATCCTGTTAAGATGTGGGAGGAATCTGGCTCCACGATTTTTTTTTTTAAAGATCATGCATCTCTTTTTGTTGCATTCTCTCATCCCAAGAGAGTGGCCTATTTGCAAAGTTTGAAGCAGCTCCCAGTTCTGAACTTCCCCAAAGTTCAAGAGCAATTGGATCTGTGGGTTTTTGTTTACCCCATAAAAGAAATTTAGATGCTGATCTAATCTTCCCCAAAGTCCCGTGGTGTTTGGATCCATAGTTTCAGGGCCCATATGTAGTTCCACTAAAGACATGTAATGGACCTTCTAGACAAACTCCTTTTTTCTCTTCCTCCCACAGTGGCTGTCCTGCACAGTGGTTTGAGCCGTTGCATCTGAATTGAGCAGAGATCCCCATGACTCTTGCAAACGTGTTGTGATTTTCATATGCCTGGAAGCTTGGAAGATATTTATTTCCTGTGTATCTGAGTGACTCTCAATCTGCTGCTCCCCTCTTACGGGGAGAAAAAATTCTCTCTCAATCACCAGCAACTTATTTTAAGCCAAAATGAAAATAAAATGACCCCTTGCCATTTGGAAAACAAACACTGCAATGATACTTTAAAAACACACAAACAAAAAACCTTTTCTTTTTTCTGCCTGAGGAGTATTTTTGTGTCATGCTGAAATGTCATGAATTACAATTACTACAGATAGGCCCAAAGGGCATAACTTAGATTCAAATTCCAGCTCCCCACCAATATTCAGCAGTGTTCAGATCCAAACAGCTGGTCTGGATAGAAAGGGTCAGCTACAAAATTTGTATCAGATTCTGAAGCATCCACCCATATCCTTCATTTGAATCTAGGAGCTTGGTTTGGGCCCATCTCTAAGACTTCGTTTAGTGACCTGGTTTAGTCTATTCCATTTAGATCCTTATAACACCTGAGTGCCTTCCAGATTGAGAATAAACAAGGAGGATCGCATCTGTCATTTTTTAGTGAGCAGGAGAAGGAGGAGGGAATCTGAAGGCCCTTTTTACAAACATGTTTCATTTATGGCTCTTTTGTATGTTTTCAAGGAGGAGAAGGAGAGGGCAAGGTGGTAAGGAAAGAATGTGATTTGTGCTTTCAGTAGGCACATTGGTTGATAACAAACCTTGTCAGTGATCCACATGCAGGTCCAAACACAAATATTTACATTTAATAGGTAAAAAAGGGGAGTGTGCAGCCTGGGAAGGAGTCCTATTAGCTCATCTCACTAGAAACCTGAAAGAGCCTACAGGATGGTTTGCAACTTCAGCTGGAGGGTAAAGTTTCCAAACATGGAATCACTGGAAGTTGCAGTTTCTGAAACTGAGGCCAGCAATCAGGGCCGTCCTTACCCATACGCAAAGTACACAGCTGTGTAGGGCACCAGGAAATTTGGGGCACCACATTTCCTGGTGCCCTACGCAGCTGCATGCTGCTCCAGCCCCTGCTCCACCCCAGCCCCGCCTCTTCTCGCCCCTGCTCTGCCCCATCCCCGCCCCCATCCCCTAAGGACTGCAGCAGGGCCGGGCCTGCACTCACCAGCCACGGGAAGTACAGACCTGGCCCTAGCCGCGCCGCTGGTGAGGGCTGGGAGGTGGTTCCCTCCTGTCCCCCAAGCCAGCCCCCCCACATGGAGGCCTGGGGCCCCACACACCACGCACCCCAGAATAGCCAGGGATGGCCCTACCTGCAACCCACACAGAAGCAAATGCACAACAGTGACAGAGGATGCAGCTTCTTTAGAATCAGTGGAGTTGCTCCTGCTTAGAACTGTGTGATTGGGCTCTTGGTCATTAATTAAAGATCCTCTGAAAGCTCCAGCGTCCTGGCTGGCCAACTTCTAATTTGAGGAATTACATTCTGCCTGACTAACTATATTCTACAGCTTCATTTGGAGAAGTTATTTTCCATTCCCCTTCTTAATTGTCATCACACTAATAAATCTGATCTACAGTGTTGCTAGCACAGAATAGCTGCCATGATCCGTCCCAGAGGTGGCTGTGTTCAGGTGACGTGAATGGCCTCTATACAACTCTATACAGGTATAGGGCAAAATTCTTCTCTCTCACTGACGTGGGGATCTCTGCTGCCTGCAATGTTCAGGATTTGTTTGACACAGGAACATCATTCTTGCAATAAGGGCAAAATTAGCATTTAGTGGGTTGTTTGGCATATAAGAACAGAACATTTTACCCTTGGTTTATAACAGGGGCGGGCAAACTTTTTGGCCTGAGGGCTGCATCGGGTTTCGGAAATTGTATGGAGGGCCGGTTAGGGGAGGCTGTGCCTCCCCAAACAGCCAGGCTTGGCCCGCCCCCAGCCCGTGGACTCCTACCCCATCCAATCCCTGCCCTCTGACTGCCCCCGCCACTCCGTCCAACCCCCCCTCCTTCCTGATTCCCCCCCTACCCCCCGGGACCCTTACCAAATCCAACCACCCCTTCTCCCTGTCCCCTGACTGCCCCCTGCCAACCCATCCAACCCCTCCTCTCCTTCCTGACTGCCCCCCCAGGACTCCTACCCCAATTCAACCCCTCTGTTCCCCACCCTCTGACCGCCCCAACCCCTGTCCATGTCACCCCCCCCCCCAAACTCCCCTGCCCTCTATCCAACCCTTGCACTGCCTGGAGAACCGGTGGCTGGAGCCCAGCTGGAGTCAGCCATGCCATTGTGCAGCACAGAGCACCGGGTCAGGCCGGGCTCTGCAGCTGCGTGGCCCCAGGAGCTCGCAGCCCCCCCTGCCCAGAGCATTGCACCGGGATCACAGTTAGCTGAGGCTACAGGGGAGGGGGAACAGCGTGGGAGGGGCTGGGGGCAAGCCTCCCGGGCCAGGAGTTCAGGGACCGGGCAGGAGGGTCCCACAGGCCGTAGTTTGCCCACCTCTGGTTTATAAAATGCTCTGGGATCCTTGCGGATGAAAAGTACCATGTACAGTGAAACCTGTGCTAATGATCAGCTGGGTAGGGTGGGCACCTTCCCTAAGGTCCAGTAAAATCTCTGGCCTCGAGAGAGTTCCTCTCTATTAATTGCAGTGTGTTATACACTGTAGCTACCCAGCAGTCCCTTTGGCAATTAAGGGGTCTCACTATAACTACAGGGACTGTAATGACCTGGCTAGTGTGTGTGTATGCGACAAGCTCCCACCTTGCTGCAGAGGGAATGAAAGAGGAGCTCCTGCCCACCCACTATTGGGAGGTCCAGCCTTGGACCTTGAAAAAGAAGCGGATGACTGATATAAGGCTCAAACCCTCTCAGCTTCTTTGCCCCAAGGCCACTTCCTTCACCTCTTCCCAAAGTACTTCCCTCATGACCCAGAAGGATTTACACGGTCTGTTGTGTAACAGCGTCTCGCTCTCCAGCCAACCTTCCCCTTGTTGGGAGTGCTGTCTTCAGGCTTTCTTAGACGTCCAGGAGCAAAAGTCCAAATAAATAACAAAATCCAGACTAAACAAGCTTCCCCTTCCTGGGGTTTCTTCTTCAGCCTTCTGGGCTTGCATGGCCATTTAACAGACCCTCTTATCAGTTTTCCCTCTTAAGTGGGAAGGGATCTGGTGGTATCTTCTGGCCCCTTCATAGAATTCTTTGCCTCTAATGCTCAGCTGTCCCTCCAGACTTCAATTCCCAGCAGAATGGGTGTGACCAAAACCAGGGTGGTGCTGGATCCAGCTGCCCCACTACCCCCTAGTGGATGCATATGAACTGCTCACTGAGGTATCATAGGCCCTATACCAGTAACAGAAAAAAATTCTCCTCTAGTTCAAGTAGCAGGGTCTGAGTTTTTGGAGCAAGGGGGTCTTAGGTCTTTCTCTTCCATCCCTGGAGATCTGATTGGCTATGCTGTACAGCATAGTGACAACTGTCTGACGTGGCCAGGGATTTCTGACAGTGCTACTATCCCTCACAAAACAGCGTAATAATCTGCATGCACCTGTGTGTCTAAACAGAGAGAAGTCAGGGATGGGATGGAGCTCCCAGAGGCCCTAGCTCTCTCCAGCAAGTGCTCTCTGCCAGTTGAGCCAAACGAACACCTCCCCCCAGCACAGAATCCTGAGTATGTCCCACAATTCCTTACCAGCCACGCAGCACAGCAAGATAACAGCATGCAGCTCTGGATTAGCTTTCTGCTCACATCCGCTAGTCATCAATTTAGTCCAATTACGCATGATCACAGAGGTGTCTCGCAACAGGACGGGGTAAATCAAATAGAGAAATCCACTGGATGATCCTCCTGCCCCTCTCCTCTTCTCAGGCAAAATGCCCCCATTTCAATACACCTCCTACCTATCTCTGTGTCTCTCGCTCACCTTTCCAGGCTGGGCAGAGTGCTGCACTCCATCCTCCTTTATCTGTAGGAGGCAGGCCGTTCTAGTGGAGCTACTTCCTCTTTTATTTGTTCTTTGAGCACAGCACTTGGTATCTGGTCTCCAGACAACTGCTCAAAAGTAAGCCTTGTCATTGAATACACTTCTCCTTGCCACTTGGCTGCATCTGCAAAAAGATGATTGAGGTCATCTTGTTTCTCTTCCTCATACGACAAGCCAAACAAGTGTCTGTGCACGTCAGTCCCTCTTCTACCCTTGGCCCTAATTGCTTGTTGACTAAAATGCCTGCAGCTGCTATTAGGGGCGATGCAGGACAGTGTGAGGGGTGGACTGAGCCTGGGGCTTGGAGTCAGGAACTCCTGAGTTCTGATCCCTTGTTGTGTGGCCATGGCTTCAAAGTTGCCAAGCGCCTATAGCTGCCATGTGACTTGAGTGACTTCATCGCTTCATGTCAGTTCTTCTCGCTGTATAATGGGGATCATATGGCAGGGGTGTTGCAAGGGCTCACTAATTCAGGTCTGTAATGTGCGCAGTATTAGTAGGAAAACCTGACTGTGCCTGGCTGGGATTCCTAGCGCTTCGCATGTAGGATGGCAAAGAAGAATTTACCCATGGGAACAATGCAGTGGCTAGTCTATCCGCTCTCTTCCCGCCCTCCCATACTTTGAAGGAATGTTTCCATTGACTGTGCTGAAGCCCATGCATCATGGTGCCCTGCAAAGCCAAAATCTCTCTCTGTGTTGCTGAGGTAGAGTGTAGTAAATATTGGCCAAGGTCCAGATGGCCATACTCACTTGTGGCCAGTTTGTCTTACATCTGTGTAGTCACATTAGTTCAAATGGCTGTAATTCCTACCAAAGAAGCATTTTACACCAACTTTGCACAGGACTAAATGACAGTGTGAGATACAAGGCTGTGGAGAATGAGGCCCTGAATAAAGCTGGTTTGTCAGCAGGAGAATCAGGCCCAGCAAGTGCAAATAGCTGCCTCAGCTTCTGCCTTAGCTGTCAAAGGAGATCCCACAGTGTAAAGTGATTGCTCGCATAGTGCGGGAGAGTTTTTTCATGGGGAATTACTGGGGTTCTCCTTCATCTTCCCTGTCATCTCAGGCTATAGACCTTGGTTTATGCCTCAGAAAAGGAGTGGTCCAGAAATCTCTTCCCCCAGGATTTACTCAAAGGGATGCTGCTGAACCTAACTCCAATTAATTTTTGGTGGGTCTGCATTTCCACATAGTTTCAGGCTGCCTGCCAGGCCTGGAAGTGCTGCAAGAACATGAACACTTCCTTCCTTGCACTAT